CTTCTTCTTCTTCTTCTTCTTCTTCTTCTTCTTCTTCTTCTTCTTCTTCTTCTTCTTCTTCTTCTTCTTCTTCTTCTTTTTCTTCTTCTTCTTCTTCTTCCCCCAAAGTCCTCGAGTGTATCTATAGGTTGTGATTCCAGTAGAGCTGATGGAGGGTAGTGTCTTCGGCAGTCTTCCTCTGATATTGTGTGGTTTGTGTGTACAGTTTTCAGAAAGGGCACATTAAATCAGGATCTTCATTTTATTTTTGCCTGGCCGTACTTGCACACTGAAAGGTGAGAACAAGTTAAAAGAACAGTTTGGTCTAAACCCTAACATGTTACTCGACAATTCCAAGATGGATTGTGTAGTGCAGCCTACATTTTGTTTCCTCTGAACTTGCTATCTAGGTTAATGTGTACCAAAGACGATTTCACTGAAAACAGTTTCAGAAACAAATAATCTAGTGTAACATTATGGTTAGAACCATTTTCATCAGTGAAAACCCTCTATATCTTTGTATAGTGTTCTGAGCATTTCAATTGATTTGCGACTAATAGTGAGTATGAGTGACATGGTGGGTAGGATGAGCACGCTGAAGTTCAGGGGTCACACTAAGTAGTCAATTTCAGGCATTCTGAAATGGTCTTGTAATGCAACTACAATATTGTCGTGCTGTAAAGCCACTTTGAATTTGTGTGGGTTGAGTGGGGAAGAGAGGAAGACGGGAAAAACAGAAAGATAAACGCATAAAGGGTTCTCTTTTAATTTAACAAAAAAATGCTTAATCTGACACTTCCCCAAAATCGACAAAGAGAGCCCACTATCGATAAGTACTCAGTACTTATTAAGGTACGAACCAACGGACGTAATTTAAGTGCATTTGCATAGGATTTAACGAAGGGGAGTAGAAAATCGGGGTACCCGACGCCAATACCCGGATAGCCGTTATAAGCTCTTTGTCCGGGTGCTCGCCCAGCCCTTCTATTGTTTAATCTCATTTTTTTTATCAAGCCACCTCCTTCTCACAGAATTTTTGAAAAATCTGCCATACTCTGTCACATTTTTAAGTATACACCGTGTTAAAATGAAAATAGCTAGTTTCACATTGAGCCGATATTCTTTAAACATTCAGGAATACTAATTCAATCCATTTTAAAAACGAAAAAAGCAACAACAATACGGAAAATTAACGTATTAGATTTATTCCCGACTTACTAGAGTGTAGGGGTGATCCACAACAGTAACACGATCAGTAGCGCGTAAAATGTCCTCTTGCATTAATGATGGCTTGACATCGTCACCGTATGGAATCAATCAATCTCTGCACTTCCTGTCGAGGGATGTTATTCCACTCTTTATACTAATGTATACAATGCTCTCACAAGTTGAAGAAGTCTTTGAGGCTAGTGTTGTCTCCTTCGAATGCGCGATCGAGCAAGTCCCATAGATGCTCAATGGGATTCAATTTCAAATCAGGTGAGTAGGCAGGCCACGGTTGAAGAACTGGGATGTTGTGTTCAGGTAGGAACTGGGTGGTTAGACGAGCTCTATGCGCTGGGGCATTGTCATTCTTAAAGGTTAATCCTTGGTTTTGAATGGCTGCAGCGAGGTGTGGTCGAAGAATCTCGTCAATGTATCGGTGTGCTGCCAAAGTGGGGTCTTGGCAGCTGATGTAATTCCTCCCCACACCATCACACTTCCACCAACAAAGGCTCTGGCCAGACTTAGGCCCTGAGGAACGAACCTCTCATTTACTCTACGGAACCCGCGTGTTCTTTCGTCTTGGTGTTCCAAAAGAAATCTGGATTCGTCGGAGAAGGTTATTCCATACCTGGCGAAGTCTTAGCCTCTTTCTGATTGTTTAGGGCGGCAATCTTATGCGGTGAGCGAGGCGCCTGGCTCGGAGTTCAAATTCTTTAAGCCGTCTCAATACAGTTGTTTTTTATATTGGGTTGACAGGTCACATGTTGTTAAACTCATCTCTGGTTTGTCTTGCTGTTTTGAAAGGATTCCGTAAATAGATGCGACAAGTGTATAAAAAGATCCTCTTTTGAAGTAGCTTTTCTTCTCCCAAGTCGACGAGATCGATCCTTTTGTGAACTTGTTGTTCGTTCAAGGTCCATTGTTGCGTACACAGTTCTTCTTGTTACATTAAAATTTCCCGCAGCAGTGGAAACTGACCCCCCCCCCCCCCCCGGGTCATTCCAACAAACTGATTTTACACATTTTCTCTTAGGCGTGATATCATGAAACGTAGATAACACAAGTTTTTAACACTGGCGAACTGTTACAAAAATGACAAAGCTTTGATGTGTACATCTTTTAAAAACAAATCTTTGCCGTGTCATGAGTAACTCTCAAAAACACAAAACATGTAACTTGCACGCAGTAACAAAACCACTCTCGCGTTCAGAAATCTGAAAACAACTCACCAGCGACAGGTATATCACGTAGTCAGTGTGTAAATTTGAAAGTAATTGGAGGAAAAGATTTGTTTAAATTGAACTTTAAAATCGAACTTAAAAATGTGACAGAGTATATAGGCCTATAATTTTATACTGTCCATTTCATGTATTATATTTTCTTATTTGTCTTTCTCATACAATCATACATGGTTGAGTACCCTTCCCCTCATTCGTATTGGAGTTGTGAGGAATACTTAAGTAGGCCTAATCTCCATACCGCGCAGCTACAATAAGTAGTTTTTCTGAGCTACTCCAGGTGTTTTGTCTCTTGATCTTTCAGTGTTTAGAAAATGGAAGGTTGCTATTTGTGTGGTGTGGTGACCTGGATGTACCAGAAACATCCTTATATTTTTACATTTCTAACGGACACTGCACCATTGGAGTCCTGTCTCATACCTCTGTGCCACAGTTTAAATCTTTAGATTATTATCTCAATATGTGAATACGTTGTATTATCATCATCATCATCATCATCCAGTGCTAGATCTGCGACAGACATCGGCGATCATGGTTTTCCATTCATTCCTTTGCTCGGATGCTCTCAAAAAAGCTACGTTTCCCTGATCTTTTCCTGTTATCCATTTGTTTAGGTTCCCTAAGTATGTTGTTCTGGGCCTACCCCTGCCTCGCTTGCCCTCTATTTTGCCAGTGAGAGCTAGATGTTCAAGACCCTTATGTCTATTCAGGTGTCCCTAAAACTGCATTTGTCGTTTCCTGATTGTTTTTAACATTGAGCGTCCCACGTGGACTTCATCAAGCACTACCTCATTTGATTTCTTTTCCTTCCACGATACTCTTAGCAGTCTCCTAAGAAACCACATTTCTGTTGCTTCTATTTTATTTTCACTGTCTTTAGTGATTGTCCAGCATTCACAGCCATATAGAAGGTTTGACCAAACGTAGCATTTCAGGACTTTCTTTTTGGTGTTCATTGAGATGTTTCTATTTTTCAGGATTGGGCTCATTTTATTTAAACTAGCCTTAGCCATTGTAGTTCTCTATAAAATTTCTGTGGAACGTTTGGCGTCAGATGTTATCATATATCCGGGATATTTAAATTGTTGGACTTGTTTGATCTTTTCACCTTTGCTAATGAGATTACAACTAGGGTTTGCTGCTTTTTTGGATATTACCATGCATTCTGTTTTCTTTACATTCAACAATAATCCTTTACGTTCACTTTCTGTTACAACAGTATCTAGAAGCAGTTGAAAGTCCTTTTCAGAGCCTACTATTAAAACTGTGTCATCTGCATACCTGATGTTATTAATATTTTCTCCATTTACTTTGAGGCCTGGACATTCTTCTATGTTTCTAAGGATTGTTTCACTGTACATGTTAAAGAGGTCTGGTGACATAGCACATCCTTGCCTATATTATACGTTGTATATATGAGGAAAATAACTATTACTTTGCAGGCCTTTTTATTAAAGTTGTTTGAAGTGTAATGTATTTTACCAAGTATATTTCTTTTTGAAATGGGTTAAAAAGACAAACATAGAAACAGAGCTTTCAAAATGTACATGGTGGGGTTTTTAGATGGGAAGTTACCAGACTTCACTAAAATTCCAATTTTAGGGGTTGAAAGAGACATTTTCATTCATTTCACAAGTTATCAACATCGAAGGTACTTACAAAATAGCCTCAAAACAAAACATAATAAGCTATTACTTTAGGAATTATTACTGTTGTTTTCCAGCAGAATTAAGGAAAAAAGAACGTACCGTTTTTAATTTTATGAAAAGCCCATATTCTACTTTTCTTGCTGCCTTCTGCTGATGTTGTTGTTGTTTTTGTTGTGTTTGTTATTGCCTCACAGCATAAACAGACTAATCACATCTTTTAATTGTAATGAAATATCTTGGAATATTGATTTTTAAAAATCTCTATGGCTGGTTTGTTTCTATTGTCATTAAATATGATTTATACTCTATCCTTTTGAGAAAATCAAATGTTAGTACGTTTTACGCATTCATTAACAAAATCTAAATAAGGTAAAGAATGTTGATTCAAGGATCGGTAAAGCTCAGACAGAATAAATTCTGCTTTACAAACAGCGGGTGGTAAGATTTACCTTCGAATTTTGGATCAGAAGCAGTCTTTTGAGATATTTAAAACTTAATAGGATGAATTCAAAACTGAGTTGTTATTATCAAAGGGAACCCCTTCCCTCAAATGAAGGGCCATTTTCTGCCTCGCCAGCAGCAGCTAAAAAGTAGTGGAGGTACATAGTGTGCCAACAATATTCAGTCAATAGAGTATCAGTGGGGGAGGGGGGGGTGGTCGAACCCATATATCTGTGGCAAATCTTTTGTGGCAAGAATTCCTTTTTCTTTATCATACTTTAACACCCTTACCCCTCGCCATATTATGTTTTTTTAATTCTAAAAAAATCCGTTGTTGGTATAACACATCTCATGTATGGGAATCAGAACTATTACATGTTTTATTTGAAGTGAAATATTAAACTAGATCTCGAACAGACTCTGAGGAAACTATCTAAGCAATGTTCAATTTCTTTGATACGCAGAAGGATAACCCAAAGAGGACCCCAGCCTCCTCTTTTCAGGGGAACGTTATTCCTAGCTCTGAATGTGCTTGTGATGTTCCACCAGAGGTCCCTCAGGTTTGTAGGCCTACTTTGGAACTTGATTATACCAACATGACTGTCATGTTTTCCCTGTGTTGTGTTGTGGCTACCCCAGAGATAGCCAGTGTACACAACCAATTGAATTCATTTGATCGAGTCGTGGCGAGACAGATTTCCCTCAAGAATGGGACAAAAGCTACCAATTTGGCACAATTGGACCGAATCCGACTTAATTCGACAATGAATTAGGCCCCAGGTCTGCCTTCAAAATCAATCATGTTTGTTTTTTCAAGGTTGTGAGTCGAATCGGCCATTTGTTATGCCAACATGGTAGCTTTTGCTCCTCCATGGAGGAAAATCTGGTTAACCTCAACTCAGTCAAATTTGACTGAATCCCATAGGTGGTGTGCACGGGGTAAAGAAGGAAAATCTTCACGCACACACACACACACACACACACACACACACACACACACACACATATATATATATATATGCAGAAACATATATATTATATATATATATATATATATATATATATATATATATATATATATATGTATGTATGTATATAAATTTATATTTACATTTTTTAAAAAGAATAATTGTTTCAAATGTTTTTAATTTATATGTATATTTTTTTTTTAAAAATATTTATATATATATATAGATTGTTTACACATATCATACGGCGACTTCATGAACAAGAAATGATCACTTCTGTATTGCTGTTTCTGTTATTCTTTTATTCCAATGAGAAGCAAGAAAAACAAAGGGCAGATGATGCCACAAACAGCATTGGCTGTTCTCGCACCTGTGGTAGTAAGACTTAGCATGTGATCTGTAGGCCAATAACTTAAAGGTACCTGAACTGAACAGAAGAAGCGTGCAATATCAGAATATCATCGAGCAATTACCAGAGTACAGACTATGTGTCAGGTTTTATTAACACTATCGTTCTTAAATATTGTTGTTAATTTATATTATGCCTTTGACTATGAGTCTGTTTGTGAGTGCAACCATACAATTATATTGTTGTGTTATTGTGTGTACAGATATGTGTGGAGGAGAGAATGTGTGTGTGTGTGTGTGTGTGTGTGTGTGTGTGTGTGTGTGTGTGTGTGTGAGAGAGAGAGAGAGAGAGAGAGAGAGTATGTGTGTGCGTGTGTGTGTGTGTGTGTGTGTGTGTGTGTGTGTGTGTGTGTGTGTGTGTGTGTGTGTGTGTGTGTGCGTGTGTGTCTGTGTGTGTGTGTTTCTGCATGAGTTATTTAAGATAAATGATTTTACATGGAATACAACAATGTCGAGGGACAGCAGCAAGCCCAGAGACAAAGTCTGCTCTGAAATTCTTCCATTATTATTCTTAAACATTTTATTTAACATCCAAAATCACATAAGTTCCAATAAAAGCTTTTATGTTTAAAAAACTGATTTTGGTTTGTTACTACTTTTGTGAGTTCCCCACTATTTGCGCAGAAAATAGTCAGAATATAATCTTTGCAATGTTTTTTTTTAAGTTAAAGAGTCATGTTTAAGGCATTTCCTGCTCTCTTTTCTGCATTACTTGCTGTCGGTAAAGTATTGATGTCTTTATTGTTCTGACCCTTATCTGTGACAAAGCTCATTCACTATATAGACAAGGGTTGCTGTGGCTCTGGTTATGTTATGCGTGTAGTTGACTTTGGAGGTAAACTTTGTCAGAAAAATGAAATGTTTTCTCTAACCAGTGGTAGGATAAACTGTAACTGTGGTGGCCTGGGGAGGTTATTCTGTTGTATTTTTACCCTTCTTTTTTCTATGTTTCAGCGTACTGTTGTAAGCAATAGCGAGCCTTCTGTCTTGTTTGAGGTACAAGATGAAAGTGTGCAAGACCAGGCAGATGTGACCAGTGGCCCTGACAGCAGTTGGTGGGACAATAGCGGGGCACCTCTCATCAAGGAGCCCGTGAAAGGTGACAAACAGAAAGGAAAGAAGAACTGTAAAGCTGCAAAAACTATTCCAATTGATGTTGTTGAAATGACTGATTCACCCGCTGGGGGCTCGACAGTGGTCAGTCCATCTCACAGTTGTCACTCCAATGTCGAGCTTTTGCCGGCTGAATCTACAGCTCCTACGGGGTTTACTGTGCAGGAGAATGCTTGTCCTGTTCACAGTGTGTCTAAGTTATCAGATGCCACTGTGATAACTCCCAGTACAGTACTCGTTACCCATGTGCCCAGTCAAGGTTATATAACAGGATCAAACCAGCAAAGTCTGCACTGTAGCAGCAGCAGCAGCAGTGGGTCAAGCAGGCAGAATGTTAACGAATATGTTGTTTCTGAACAGAGTGCCAGGCCAAAAGATAGACCAGAGGATTCTGACGTCATTGAAGCGATCAACTTCTCGCCTGATTATGTCACTGCAGATTCACCATCAGTTTTGGCTGACTCTGATCTTGCTGTTGTACCGGAGGTGAAAGTAGGGAGAAAATTAACGGAGCCACATGACATGGGAATGACTTCTCCCAGTACAGGTGTTTACACAAATAAGCTGCCCTTGACAGACGTCGACTTCCCAGAAGAAAGGGAGACGCAGCTCACACAGGGCAACAATGACCAGCTCGGTGAGATAAGCTATTCACCACATCCTGTTCAAGCTGTGGCACTGTGTGAGGTCGGTCTCCCGATGTATGTCCAGTCAGGTGGAGGGGGAACAGCGCACACAGCATCTGGTGTCAATGGCGAAGAAGAATCTCTGCAGAGGCACGATGTGGGTTGTCTGTCTTTGCTTGACACAGGTGGCGTGAATCAGGATCGTCTCTGCGATTCTGCTAGTGATTCTGAACTTGGTTCTTTTGATGTTCCGCATTCCGATGATGAGGGACACAATGGTGAAGAGAGTTCTGATGAAGACAGGCATTATTATGATAACCGAGACAATGATGATGGCTACACAGTTCACATCGATTGAAATGATTACATTGTCATCTTTTGTTGTTGTTTCTCAACATGATAAGTATAGATTCCTTACTTCTTGGGCTGAAAAAGAGTGTATTTTTTTTGTTTTTTGTTTTTGTTTTTGTTTTTTGGTTGTTGTTGTTTTTTGGTGTTTTTTTTTTTTTTTTTGGGGGGGGGGGTTACCCTACCCTATTCTATCATCTGGTGCTTTTGTGTTTAGTAGTACCAACAAAATGTGCATCATTTTGGATTTTGAAATTAGCTGATAGTCTTAGAGTAAACACACAGGGGAATGTTTTACATATAAATAAATAAATAAATAAATAAATAAATAAATAAATAGATAAATAGATAAATAAATGAATGAATAAATAAGCAAATAAATAAATAAATAAATAAATAAATAAATAAATAAATATGTTGCTTCACTCTAATAACGTTTATTGGTAAGTTACACACCTAAGTGTCGCCATAGCCCCAACTGGAGATGGTTACAACAACTGGTAGTAGTTAAGTGTTTATATCATAATAGTCCTACATACCTCTGCTCTTTCGGGTCACGAGGTGTGCACCCTCCGTCCCCGCTCCCAAGTGGAGTCATCTTAACAGTGTCACAGCACGATCCGAAAGTTTGCACGAAGTCTCATACTATGGTGATGACATTGTCAGTATTAGTACCGAAACTATTGAGCCAAGACGAGTAGGTAGTGGGGAACAGATAGAGGTCGCAAATTTTGCTAATATGAGGGTTGTGTTTTTTGTGTTTTTATCTGTATGTTTAGTCTCTTCTTAATAATAACATAGATTTGTTGGGCACTCCAAAAAGAGCTATAACACGGGTGTGTAATGTTTCACCGTTATTGACAATTTATTATATGCGTGCTTTTTGGAATGAGGGTGACCGACAGATACTTGAGGATAGTTCAGATGACCTGAGTTTTAAAAAAAAGATTGCATAGATGTATCTGTGTCAAGTGAATTCACTCACAGGTACAATTTTTTGTTCTTTTCAACAGTTATTTATTCTTTTGGGAGTGGAACACGAGCATTACGATTGTGACACAGTGAACCGCTCATCCAACACAATGAATAAAGCCTGCAGTGGTATACATTGGAAGATTGAACAACACAGAACACTGGAATAGTTATATTACAAACAGGTCAGGGGAGAGGGGATAGAACGTTATTGCTTTTTTCTCGTTGTATGCAACAAAATACGTAGGACCCTCAAGTCAGTATCCTACAGGGTTTTATGATGGCTTCTATGTCGCCATTGGTGCTATCAAGAACTACATTTCATATTGTGATCTAAGTGTTATAATATTTATACCTACTCCTTTTCCTGTCTTGCTGTAAATTACATTTAACACTGAGAATTCCAGTTATGAAACCTGGAGTTTTCACTAAATTTAACTTAAATTGTACAGAATACAAGCATTTATTGTAATACTTTTGAGCTCAAAGAGATGATTTTTCAATATGCTGGAAAGCTTTGACAAAAATCCCAAAAGTCTGAAATTTGAGTGTGCACAGGACAGCATTCAACGGGTGATATCTCGGTAGTTACAACATTACCCAGTAAGCATGGGTCGGAGTTTTCGATTGTATTTTGATGTCATGTTGTATCATATTTTTTAAAGATTATTCTCACAATTAAAAATTTTTCATGTGACATGGCATAACTCGAAGATATTCAATAGCATCCAAGGTTTTAAAACTTCAGTAAAAAAAAAAATGTATTTTTTCTTAAGAATTCATGTTAGTTTACTTGAAATGTTCATTTCACAGCCTTGATATTAACATTCCTGAGGATCAATGTGTGTGATCAGAGTTGTTATTATTTATGTAAATTTTTTTTACCCAATTGCCTTTTAAAAAATCATGCCTTTTTCTCCTGTCTGTCCATTTTTACAGTGGTATTTAAAATTAAAGGCTGTTTGTTTATGTTTTTTTAGGACTCTATACTGGATTATTTTTGTATAACATTCATGCACCGAGTTGTGACATTAAAAAATATCAAAATTTTTTGGGTAAGTGTTTTGCGGCGCTCGCAACTGCATAAGGTCATATGAGCGCGCGAGACACACCGAACATTTTCAGTAGGTGGGAAATTTTGAATTTTGCCCGGGTGGTGGCCGAAACCTACTCTTCGATTTTGGACCACCAAGGGATCTTTAACGTTCGCAACTTGCACACAAAACCTCCCAGATTTTCGTCCTTTTCCGAGAAGGCTAGGTGGGGGTCTTACCTGCCATAAAATCAGGTGGGTGGCTGAAAGACAGCAGTAAGAAGGAGCCAGGGAGAAACAGTAGAAAAACTGCAGAAAGAGTCAGGAGCCCAGAGGAGGGGCAAAGGAGGCGAAGAGTGGGGGCGGCAAGTGGAGACGAAAGCAGACCACCGAACATTGTTAAAGAGCTGGAAAGTATGTAAAAGGAGTAAATTTTTTAGAAGAAAATGTTCGTCTCTATCCAGATTTGAACTCGGGACCTTTTGAATGAGAGGCGAAGACCTTAATCTCTAGGCCACGACAG